TTCGTTATCACGGATCGACCGACAACAACACAATAATAATGCAATTTACCGTGCCCATACAATGGGTTATTTTTAGAATGTCTTTACCGAATTTCTCGTTAACTTCGGTAATACCCGCCATTAACTATTAATATCCATCGTATTTATAATAATATAACATATTTCATTATTTTATATTTTTTGTAATTCGGATAGGCCATGTCTAATGTTGATAACTGTCGGGAATCGAATAACTCAACAGTGTAACAACATCCACGAGACCACGAAGTATAAAACATACATTATAATACACGACACTACCAGCCGACTGTCGTCTGTTTATTTATAGATACTTTTTCCCCGCTCTCTGGTTAAGTTTGATGAATGGGTACGACATTTACCATGTGAACATTGACGTTGTTATAAATACATTTTTATTACCGATTATCGATGAACAAACAATGATTATCCAGGATTTTCGTAGTACATATGGCTTCAATTATGTGAAATATCGATTGTAGCTAATTAAAAATCTCGATGGACCCATGTTGACATTACAGACGGGTTAGGTATAGCTATCACGGTCGCTCGAATATAATATTAACATTAATTTTTTAGTTATCAAGGATCGACCAACAACAACACAATAATAATGCAATTTGCCGTGCCCATACAATGGGTTATTTTTAGAATGTTTTTACCGAATTTCTCGTTAACTTCGGTAATACCCGGCATTAACTATTAATATCCATCGTATTTATAATAATATTACATATTTCATTGTTTTATATCATAGTTTAGGAACCGATATTTTGGTATATTTCTTACGTAACGGGACAGCATTTTTTCGTCGTTTTCTTTTTCAAGTATCTTGATTATGACCCAGTGATCTCCCCCCCCCAGCTCTTTACACTGTAATTGTCATAATATATACAAGCGATAATTCCTATTTCAAAATAATGGTTGTTAAGAAACGGAAATTTTTTCATAGCGATTGGTGGCCCTGAAAAGGGCCGTTTTAGTTGAGTATTGATATTTCAAAAGGTTTGCCTTATTTGGAGCTGGTGTACTTGGTCACAGCTTTGGTTCCTTCACTGACGGCGTGCTTGGCCAATTCACCGGGCAACAAGAGTCGGACGGCGGTTTGGATTTCCCGGCTGGTAATGGTCGAACGTTTGTTGTAGTGAGCTAGACGACTGGATTCGGCGGCGATGCGCTCGAACAGGTCGTTGACGAAGCTGTTCATGATGCTCATGGCTTTAGACGAAACTCCGGTGTCGGGATGTACTTGTTTCAACACTTTGTAGATGTAGATTGCGTACGATTCTTTCCTCTTGGGCTTGCGCTTCTTGTCGGACTTGGCGATGTTCTTTTGTGCCTTGCCGGACGACTTCTTCATTGCTTTACCCGCCGATTTTCCTCCTGGAGCCATTTCGAATAGTTGTAACTAGACTTGTTGACGACTGAAACGTTGTGAACTGGGTGATAATTTTTGTATCATAGCGGTGGGTATATATTACCAAATCCAAACGACAAGTCGTTCGTTTATTGGTGTAAATACCATAATGATGACGATATAAATAGGATCGCCGATTAGTCCACAATAACTAAAAATAGGAGTTTCTCCACAAGTACGTTTCATGAATATGTCCAATGAAAACAACATCGTTTGGTAATGAAAGTCAACCAAACGTTGTGATGTAGTACCGTAGTGTCGTTATCTCTGTCCAATCACAGAATTTTTATCCACAGTTTTACTATATATATACGAAAACTTCAGGCGGAATTCTGCATCAGTCTTATTCAGTATCGAATTTGAACCGTACCAAGCACTATTACAATCATGAGCGGACGCGGCAAGGCAGGAAAATCGAAGGGAGGCAAATCCAAGACCAGGTCGTCCCGGGCCGGACTCCAGTTCCCGGTCGGACGTATCCATCGTCTGTTGAGGAAAGGAAACTACGCCGAACGTGTCGGAGCTGGAGCCCCGGTATACCTGGCCGCCGTCATGGAGTACTTGGCAGCTGAAGTTTTGGAGTTGGCCGGTAACGCCGCCCGTGACAACAAGAAGTCCCGTATCATCCCCAGACATTTACAATTGGCCATCAGGAATGACGAGGAGTTGAACAAATTGTTGTCCGGAGTAACCATCGCCCAAGGTGGTGTGTTGCCCAACATCCAAGCCGTGCTCTTGCCCAAGAAGACCGAGAAGAAGGCTTAACTCTGCTACCTTACCCACCAAAACCACAGTTTAAAACGGCCCTTTTCAGGGCCACCAAAATTTAAAAGTAAACGTCTGTTCGGATATTTTTTCAGTGGACACACTAGATAGTAAAATGGAATGGAATGGTGTTTAGATTATAAAATGTAAAACGTCCACGACCACTCATAGTGTAGTACATTAGAGTACATAACATTAAACACGTATACGAATACAACTTAAGTATATCTGAGACGATAAATTATTATCACAATTAATGTCAAATTGATTTTATCACAGATATAGATAATAAACCACGTTTGAAATATTGGTAATGTTAAGCTCCTCAAGGTTTTGGGGCACCGGTTAAACTTATGTGATTATTTTGAAATGTTCTGTACACTATTTTTAACTCATATATTAGAACCAGAACCGCAGTCACTAAATTTAACATCCTACTATCCAGTAAATAAAAACAATTATAAGTTCATGGAAATGTGACAAACGCGGCAGAGAGGAGTTTCTGGGAGTCTTTTTATGGTAACATACCGAAATGATCAAAATTTACCAAATTTACGTATACTTTTCTCGGTAAATTACCAAAAAAAAAAATTTACATCTCTAAATCCAAATATACCACGATAGCGATTCTGAATTAAAGTGACTTAATTCCATTTCCTTCATATTTCGAGGAAGCCGTCACTTCTGGCGTTGAACCTAAAATCTTATTGAAAAAAAATTATCACATCGAAATTAATAAGGTACACTGTCGAAATGAGGTGGCTCATCGCCAAACATTCTAAACGCTAATTTCACTCAAATATGGCTACGCTGAGTCCACTGGCAGCTGTCCTTTACCAATTTATAGCTTGTGCACGTAGTGATAATGATAACGAATTGATAACCTGCGAGTGAGTCATAACGGTACTTAAGCATAAATGAGTAGCAAACCTGAAGTATCAAGCGTCTTAATACTTTCAAACAAAAATCGAAAAATGTTTTTCCATATAAGTTAGACCATAGTGATAAGTTTTTTTTTTTTTATTCAAAATATTTTTTTAGCAATTGATTAACCCGTGTATTTTATAGTTACACCTATACGTGTTTTCATTGAATTTATATCATATTGTTGTAGGCATTAAGTTATATTAACTGTAAATAGACCAAAATATTTTAAATCCTCACAATGGCGATTGTTCAATTTTGGTTTGATTGTGACATCAAAAATAAGGCAGGAATTATCGAGGTAATCAGATGATTAGCTATAATTATACAATGAAATACAAAATATATTCTTAAGTACCTGCATTATTCTAATGTCTATTTTCGGTTATTTGACAAAATTACGACGCGATTAGGTACCTATCATGATTAGTGCCTAACTGTGTTGTAAATACCGTGGATGCGGGTATTACCGCCGATAACAAGAAATTTGGTAAAATCATTCTAAAAATAACCCATCGCAATTTAATTTTTATGTGTTGTTGTCTGTCGATCCGTGGTAATGAAAATATTAATATTAACACATGAGCGACTGAGTAAGCTATACCCAACCATATCATACCCGTCTACAATGTCAACATGGGTCTTTCGGAATTTATAATTAGACACTATCGGTATATTTTACTTAATTGAAGCCATGTAAACACCGATAATTCTTGATAATTACTGTCTGTTGATCGATTATCGGTAATAAAAATGTATTTATAACAATGTCATTGTTTACATGGTAAATGGCGTACCTATTTATCAAACTTTCCCAGAAAGCGTGACAAAAGGATCTATAAGTAAACAGACGATAGTCAGCTGGCTGTGTTATAATGTATGTTTTATACTTCGCGGTCTCGTGGATGTTGTTCCACTGTTGAATTATTCGATTCCCCGTCTTATAAATTTGGCCCGCGTTGTAATATTTGTTCTCCTATTCTGTAAAATATAATTATCAACTGAATTGTATTCATACAAATATTGGTATTAATAGCACACGCTGGCTGATAGTGTAATATCAACAATTATCAATCTCCCTCCCGTCGCCAGAATACAAGTACATTTTGGTGGCCCTGAAAAGGGCCTTTTTAAGGTATGACAACTTATGACGACTATCAATTTAAGCACGTTCACCGCGGATACGACGGGCCAACTGGATGTCCTTTGGCATGATCGTGACACGCTTGGCGTGGATTGCACAGAGATTGGTGTCTTCGAACAGACCCACCAAGTATGCCTCGCTGGCTTCTTGCAACGCCATGACGGCGGAACTCTGGAAACGCAGGTCGGTCTTGAAGTCCTGAGCGATCTCGCGCACTAGACGTTGGAACGGCAATTTGCGGATCAAAAGTTCGGTGCTCTTCTGATAACGACGGATTTCACGGAGGGCAACGGTTCCCGGGCGGTAACGATGTGGCTTTTTCACTCCTCCGGTGGCGGGTGCGCTCTTACGTGCGGCTTTGGTGGCCAACTGCTTCCTGGGTGCCTTTCCGCCGGTAGACTTACGGGCTGTCTGCTTGGTACGTGCCATTGCGCTGCTGGATTGGATTGTTCTGAGTTGGACTGCAAAACGTGACTGCTGAACGAATGATGCGGTTCGACACGCAGTCGACCGGTATATATACGTAAATCGGAACCGTGTGGGTCGTCCTCATTGGTCGATGTTTAACGGTTAGAATTGTAGTGGTGGAGGGCCGGGGGGATAACCGGTCATGGTTCCGATTGGTGGTTCGGCTTCGAGAGAAACGGTTAAAATGGACTGCGACCTGAGGAAAAGTATCAGTCAACGTTCAGTTCACATCCGAACAAGTCCAACACCACTCAAACATTCAAAATGACAGGACGAGGCAAAGGAGGAAAAGGTCTGGGAAAAGGAGGCGCGAAACGTCATCGTAAAGTGCTCCGTGATAACATCTGTAGTAAGCCAGCTACTACGGAGTAATACCAATTTCATAAGTACATAGTTATTATTATAATATACGATGAATCGGGATTCGGAATTAGGCGTAGTAACATTTGACAGTAACAAATTCCACAGGTGCATAGTTATGATACTATATGGTGGACCGGCATAACCGGGAGATTAGGGAACATAAAAGACACGAGGGTTAAGAAAATAATCGGATGAAATATTTTACAGAAAAACTGAATACGACGAAATCAAAATATAAAAGAGTAAAAAAGATTATTTTATAATAATCATAATGTAGAAATACACGCAGCCGTAAATGCGTAGGCCGGATAAATGTCCACAACAAATCACATCCGTGAGAACCGAGATATCGTATATGTAGGCAAGGGGTACGGGGGACCTCATATATAAGGGAGCCCGAATCGGCCTGTATTCAGACGTGTACTACCACCCATTAGTGCAAGCACCTTCACGCCACTCTGTTGAATATTATTTGGACTTAGGAAAATTATCGAACGTTATAATAAAAATTCACAATAAATTACATCTGTCTTATCATTCATTGTCTACCACGACTACAACATCAAATAAAGTGTCTGCGACCTGCAATAATAATAACCTGGGTGCCACTTATCTACTGTCAGTACTACGAAAGTAGGTACCAAGCATCCAGGCTTATTACACTGGCGCAGTCGAGTACAGGAGGTTCAAGAAGCTGAGGACGAGGCGAGCAGTCAAAGCGGCGGAGTTAAAATTCCAAAGGCGAGTCGAGCAGTCAAGGCAGCGGAATTCAACTTCAAAGGCGAGTCCAGCAGTCAAGGCGGCTACATTCAACTACGGAAATCCAGTCCCGACGCAGCGACTACACCACGTCAGCAGCTCCACGGAGGTACAGTCGAGGTCTGATCAACCAAGGCGACTCCGGAATCAACGGACAAATTCAAGACGGGCCAGCAGACAATCGAGGGAAAAATGAACACAGCAGTGGCAACAGCGTTGTTGTGAGTATATTAATTAAGTAAAGATAGATAATTAAATTAGCATTGTATAGCTTGAAGTGCACGTCTCACGTTGATTCATATAAATCAGCGTTTATTTTATACTTGGTGGTGGTGTAAAATATTAGGGAAAATATTCGAATAAAAATAAATAGAAAAAAAAATAGGAAACAAGCTTGGGAAGAACTATATACGTATTTTTGATAGACAGCTGTAGACTGATCTGGGATTTTTATGGTAAATAGACGGCAAAGACCGATCTGAGATTTTTTTTTGTGATAGGCAGCAGGGACTGATCTAAGAATTTTATGGTATTTTTGTGATAGGCAGCAGGGACTGACCTAAGTAATTTATGATATTTTGTGATAGACAGCGGAGACTGATCTAATAAATTAAAAGTAGACGGCGATAGGCTGATCTAAGGAATTGATGCACGCGCGTAGCATTTTTAAATTATATATGGAAATAATTGATTAAAGTGAAGTATTGAATTTTTGAATTGAAATATAGAATGATAGATAATTGTTGAAAGAAATTAATTGATATATATTGAAGAAAATAGATTTTGAATTGAAAGGCAGTAGATGACCTTGTTAAAGTAATTGACGTAAAATTTTGAAAAGTTTTGGGGAAAAAGAATTAATTATAAGGCTAGCCTAGGATAAGATTTAGTATAATATTACTAAGAATAAGTTAATAGAATAATAATTAAAAAGTTATTTTTTCTGGTTAAATTAAATTGATAAAGCGCGTAAAATAGGAAATTAAATCATATAGATAAATATAGTAGTAATAAGAAAAATAAGGGGATAGGAAGTCGAATATTATTAAAGGGATTTACGGAGTAGCTAACCGGGAGTTGTTTTATTTTATAATATTCGAGCGTAGTACGAGCGCGTACGTAAAAAAACATCGCGGAGCAGGGCGAGGGAAGCGGGTGAGGAACACCGTATCGAAATTTAACACGCGTAGCATAGGCGGTCGAACGTTTTACGTGTTATTAGATAGGTACTCATCCATTTCAACGTACGACGCGCGTTTACGTAATTTCTTTTTATTATTTGTGCATGATAGTTATTTCATAAGTAGTAAATTTTAAGTATTATTAATTTTGGTGACGGTAGTTACGTATTAATAATTTATAATTAATAATAGTATATATATGTAGAGTAAACACTGTTGGTAATTACTTACGCGGATAGGAAATTAATAATTTAGTAGATATAATTTATTGAAAATTATATATATGTAATGTCTAGATAAATATATGTCAGAATCCGATAGTTCAGATATTGACACTAGTTCTACGGACAGTTCAATAAAAGTAAAAAAATATAAAACTAGGAAAGAAATAAAAGCGGAAAATTTAAAAGACGCTGTAAAGAAAGAATTTTTAGAACAAACTAGGAAACAAGTAATTAAAGCTGAAAAAATTGTTAAGGAAAAATTAGTAAGAACACATAGTTTAACAGAACAAATAGGTACCACGCCACGAAAACAAACAGTAGGACGTTTAGGTACTAGGTCAGATTCAAGCGTAGTTCACGTGCAGTTAGAATCAGTAGTTAAGAAAAAAATGAGTAAAATGGATTTAGATAAAGCAATTGCTATGATACCTATTTGCACGGGCAAAAAGGACGTAGCCGAATTTATAAATATTTGTGAAATCGCAATTAAGGAGACAACGGATGCAGAAATACCGATATTATTGAAAATAATTACTTCTAAGTTAACAGGAAATGCGTTAGAAGTAACAAAATATCGAAATTTAGAAACATGGGGAGCAATAAAAACAATATTAGAGGGGGCATTCGAACAAAAAGTATCGGAGAGGGCCCTATCAATAGCTTTAAACACGGCACGTATGGCCGAGGGAGAAAGTGTAGCAAAATTCGCCAGTAGAATCGAAGAGTTATATTATAAACTCTGCGCGGCAAGTACGGTAGGTCTAACTCCGGCCGAGGCAGATATAGTGAAAAAACAAACAAAGAAACAGGCAATGATCATATTTATGACGGGGCTACCTCATCACCTATATACAGTACTAAAAAGTCGTAATCCCACTACATTGGAACAATGTTTCAAAACGGCGATCGATGAGATGCTTGAATATGAATCAAAAGTAGAAATGGACAAATTACAGAGACAGATTGGTAATGGAAAACAGGCAGGCGTCAATAACGAGGAAAAACGACAAAACGATGGTAACAACGCAGTTAATCGTGGAGGAAACGGTAATTCAAATCAAAATCACAGAAATAATAATTTCAACGGATATAACAACAGATATGTTAACCACAACAACCGCGGTAATTATGGAAATAATAATCGGGGCGGATATGATTCACGCACGGTTAATCGTGGCGGTTATCGAGGCGGAAACAGCTATGGACGAAATTTCAATGTCAATAATGTACAACAAAATAATAATAATCGAAATAACGCAGGGTGCTACACGTGCGGCAAGTCTAATCACTTGGCGCGGGATTGCTGGAGCAATCGACCAAATGCACCACAAAATACGAACAACAATAATCGTGTGGGCGGCACGCGTAATACGAACACCAACAATAACGTTCGTAGGGACAATAACAATACTCAGGGTGTCCATTGTAGTTACTGTAATAAGATAGGTCATGAAATTTCAAACTGCTATACAAAACAGAGAAATGAAAGAAACACGGCGGGAAACGCCAACGGACCATCACCAGTGGGGGTCAGATTGGTCCAAGAAATAATTCAAGACCCACACACAGGATTTTCCACATCACAGCAAAATTAATAGACAATCACATTACTCTAAAATCACCTAGTTTTAATAAAGATCAAATTAAATTATTAGTCGATACTGGGGCGGATCTAAATATAATTAAAATTAATGCATTAAAAGGAAACACTGAAATTAACGAAAACGAAAAAATTTATTTGAAAGGCATTAATGAAAAAATAGTTTCTACAATAGGAAAAGCAGAAATAGAATTAATAATTAATAATGAAGTATTCGAAACACAATTTTATGTTGTAAATAATATTTTTCCGATTTTGGCAGACGGGATTATTGGTAATAAATTTTTAATTGAAAACCACGCAGTAATAGACGTCGCTAATAACACGTTAACAATAAATAATAATAAAACAGGAAGCGATAGTGATATCTGTTTTACATTAAAACCGCGCTCAGAAACCATAGTACAGATCGATATACCCGATAAAGAAATGAATAATAAAAATATTTTAATAAATAAACAAGAATTAATACCGGACGTATATTGCGCGAACATTTACAATACAGTCAAAAACAATAAAATTACTATAAGCATATTAAATATATCTGAAATGACGCAGGAAATAAATGTAGGACAAGCGCGTAATATTTCATACGACACGGATGTTTCAACAGATAGCGTACGGTGTGTAAACACAATTGACACTGAACGTTCGCGTCGGGTTAGGGCGTTGATACGTACTGATCATCTTCAAGTTCATGAATATAATTCGATAGTAAAAATATGTGAACATTACGCGGACATTTTCTATTTAGAGGGGGATAATCTTACGTGTACTACGGCAGCAGAACACGTAATAAAAGTTCCTAAGGATTTGAAACCGATTTATAAAAAACCATACCGTTTACCGTTTTCACAACAACCGGAGATAGAAAAACAAATAGGTCAAATGATGAAAGACGAAATCATAGAAAGATCAATGAGTCCGTTTAACGCACCATTAATATTGGTCAAAAAGAAGGAGGACGCCTCGGGGAAACAAAAGTTCAGAATAGTTATCGATTTTAGGGCACTTAATGAAGTAACTTTAAACGAATTTCACCCATTACCAAATATTACGGAAATATTAGACCAATTAGGACAATGTCAACTGTTCAGTTTAATAGATTTGAAATCAGGATATTTCCAAGTACCTTTGGCTAAAGAATCAAAAGAACTTACGGCATTTTCAACGGGACAAGGGCATTATCAATTTAAACGATTAGTTATGGGTCTAAGTTCAG